GTAGCTGTCTCTTACCACCCCATCCCACTCACAACACAAGGGAGAACTCCTAAGTGGCCTGGCTGGCCTCCAGAAGTCTTTGTGGACACCTTATCATTTCAGGAGTCCCCCTAATGGTTAACAGCAGTGTCTCCTGTATAGCTTTTGGAGCCTGACAACAAAGAGTTCCAAGATGCATAGATACACAGGGGTTTCATTCTTCTGTGCTATGCTGTAGCTTTGCTGGAATGCATCCATAATCCCTTTCCTTTTACAGTATTTTCCTTGGCCCCCTCCCCTTCTGTGTGAGCTGTCAGTCCTCATAATCTACAAGCAGCTTGTAGCTGGCCAGTACAGCCCCACTTTGCATCTGGTTCTTCTCGGTCCCAGCAGGCACGCTGGTTTGGAATCTCTTCACACAGCTGTCAACTTGTTTCTCTGGGCAGAAGGTGGAGTGACAGTTTGGGGCCTGCTTTTCCTTTTTGCATCTGTGAATGCATCTTTATCACTGCCTGCTGTAGACATCCAGATGACGTTTCTGCTTCAGCGGGACGCTAAAGTCAACCTTCTGGAGTATCCCATACAGACAGAGCTCTGAAATCTGTGAATACAGAATGGCTGGAGACTAAATGGTCCGGGTTAGCCAAGCAAGGGTGAAAAGAAGGCAATGGGTCACCTCCAAAATGCTATGATGGGAGTGCCTCTGCTTTGGGCCCTACAAACCACCCTCTCAAGGACATCAAAGCAGACATCTTCTGCTTCTGGAGCACGGGGGATCCCAGAGGCTCTGCCATACCAAGAAAACTCTTTGAGTGGCAGAAAATTCTATTTCCCCTTCTCTCTCTCTCTCTCTCTCTCTCTCTCTCTCTCTCTCTCTCTCTCTCTCTCTCTGTGTGTGTGTGTGTGTGTGTGTGTGTGTGTGTGTGTGTAGGGCAGCGGGTGGTGAAATGGAAGTGAGTGAAATGGAAAAACCAAACACTGGGAGCTTAAGGAACAGGCACAGGTTGAAAACTCAGACATCAAAAGAACGACACGTCTACATCCGCCACATGGACCACGTTCAGTGACTGTTCAGGAGGAGCTTCGACAGCTCACCAAGTCCCACATAGTGGAAAGTGTGCCATGTCCTTTCTGTGCTGGGCCACCTCATTCCATGTGCAGTGATAACTCCACAAAAACGGACAGTATAGCTAAGGCTCCTACCGGGGAAGATTTAGAACTCAACACTCCTCCGAGGTGGGTGGTGCGGAAAGAGGGGCAGGTGTAAGAAGCATAGGCATCGTGGCGGGGAGGAAGGGTGGGAGCGCATGTCTGGAGACCAATCGTGACTGTAGACAACACAAGGCAGTTGCTCTGTATCACAACCCTGTTTGTCCAGGAGACAAGGCGCTGGACCACACATGGTTTGGGACACGCTGGCAGACTAGACACCGCATTGTGATCACATACCTTCATTTCTTGTTAACAAGCTGGCAGGAGCAGAACCCTCCTCGTGGAAACACCCACCCACTCCATGCAAACAAGACAAAGCTCTATGTCTCAGAGTGGGCTGACATGTCCCTCTTGACTGGTGCTTTGGGAGAAATGTGAGCTGGAAATCATGGCCCCAGCTTTCACGTAGCCCTCCACAGGACATGGATCTTAGACGCAGCTTACACTCAGCTTAGACGTACAGAGAAGACAATTCCCATAATCAGAGTTTTAATTTTTTTAGCTATCATTTTAAGATATATTTGATTATTTTTTAAATTTACCTGTATGTGTTTGTGTACATTAAGTGCAGTGCCCATGGAGGCCAGAAGAGGGCACTGGATCCCTTGAAGCTGGAGTGACAGGGAGTTGTGAGCACAGGGACTTGGGACTGAACAGGGCAGCAAGCTCTCTGAGCACTGAGCCACCTCTCCAGTCTTGTTAATATTTTAAAGTTAAATATAGAGTGGCTTTCATGATATTTCCCAGGCTGTTTCTGACTGTACTCTGTTCACATTCTCCCCATCAGCATCTCTCTTCCTCCTTGTCACATTTCCCCTCATTGCCCCCCCAACACACACAAGGGGAGCCCTGCCTGCTTCACAATCTAGATTCTGCATTGCGAAACACGTTGTTTGACCTTTTACACCAATATTCTCTTCCCTCCCATTAAATCTTTCTCTCCACCAAATGGACCCTCCCACTTTTCCTTCTGCTGGCACCCATACCCATGAGTGCTATTTAAAATCTAGACTCCATACCTGAGAGCACATATGATGTTTGAATTTAGCTTATCCACTTACTGTGATGCTCTCTGGTTCCATCCATCTTTTATGCGAGTATCATTTCAGCATCCTTTATGACTGAAACTCCATGGTGTATATATGCCATGTTTCACCCGTTATCTGTTAATAGGCATCTAGTCTGGTTCTGTATCCTGGCTACAGTGAACAATGCAGAGACAAAACTATATGTGCAAGTATCCCTCTGACGGTCAGATCATTCCTGTGGAGCTGGGTCACATGGCAAATGTGCGGTTTTGATCAGGAAGCTCTGTACCAATTTCCAAGTGGGCAGACTACTTTACATTCCCACCCGCCGTGGGTAAAGGTCACTTGCTTTCACTGTCCTTCTTCTGGGGGTGCTGATAGGCATTCTGACTCAAGTAAATCACTATATTCTTTAGTTTGTATTTCCCTGAAAGCCAAGGGCATTGAACATTTATTTCCATAGCCATTGGTCATTCGTGCTTCTTTTGGGAACTGTGTTTATCTGTCAGTTTATTGGAGGGAAAATTTGTCTGGTACTTGAGTTTTCTGTGTTCTAGGGTGTGTGTGTGTTTTAAGTCTAGGATCCGCATTATAAAATACAGTATTTTAGCTATTGTATAAAACTAGCTAAGGTTAATTTTCTTTAACCTCCACTGCCTTATTTTTGGTTTTCTAAAAGGCAGTTTTATGTGTATTTAAAACCTTTTTTTCTTTTTTTGGTTTTTTGAGACAGGGTTTCTCTGTGGCTTTGGAGCCTGTCCTGGAACTAGCTCTTGTAGACCAGGCAGGTCTCGAACTCACAGAGATCCGCCTGCCTCTGCCTCCCGAGTGCTGGGATTAAAGGTGTGCACCACCATCACCCGGCTTAAAATCATTTTTAAGGATATATGAAATAGTAGGATGGAATGTCCCCTCCCTACTTGCAGATGCAATGCAGGTGGGTGGGAAGACCATGGTCACTCATCACTGTGGTTAGTTTTCAGGTCATAGGAAGAACTTACATGGACATGGGGCATGTAGCTGTTGGTAGGGACAGTCTGTGACTCAAGCAGGAAAGTTGTAAGAGGAGGGGAGGGGGGAAGAGAGAGGGAGAGGGAGAGAGTGACAGACAGACAGACAGAATCTTCAAACAATTTCCTCAGGAACTCTGAACTCTGAATCAGACTGCTGCATTGTAGCTTGGAGCAAGGCACAATTATACTCATATACAACTTTTGCCAGCACATAAATTGCTTCTTAGATGCTCTGCTAAAGTCTGAGTCCCACAGTCAGAGATGAATGTACACTAAGGACAACAAGTTCAGAGCCACTCACCTCTCTGCCTGGGAACAAAGGGCCACATAAACCCAGTTGCTGAGTTAGACTCTGTGCCTCTTCTAACCCTTCCAGTGGATATGAAGCATGCGGTCTCTGTGGTTTTTCCCTTACGGCTCTTCTTCCAGCAGACATTCGTTCTCCCTCCAAAGTCAGATTCAGACTCCCTGTTCCCCAAACCTACTCCAGAACAAATTCAGAGCTCAGCCTAATCCAAGCAGGGCTTGCCAACCTCTCCTCACTCCTTTCGGAAGGAGTCATTGCACAGCATTTCCCACAGCAGCAAGCCCTTGATGAAGGGTTTTTGAAGTATCCTAGTCACATCTGTAAGGAGGGTCAAATATGACCGTACCCTGTTTGCTTTTTAAAATGGGAAACTAAAATTAGCACAAATCCCAAGCTAATGGCTCCTTGTAAAAGCAAAGCTCATATAACACACCAGGTGAAAATCAGTGACAACTGGGTAGGGAGAAAATGACAGGAACTGACAGACGCCAGGGAGCAGGTGACCTTGTGTGCTTCACAGAGTGTGGCAAAGTAAAGGAGGCAGCAAGTAAGAACTCTTAAGAATGGGATATAGCCACTGACTGCAAATGCAGTTATAAATACGCTGGTGACTCAGACGGATGGATTAAAATCTAGGATCCTGGCACAGCAAAGACTTCAACACTGCATCCGACCTGAGACTCACCTCTGAGAGTGGGTGCTCTTTTTCAGTTCTATAACCAGGTATCTAACAAGAGTCAAGTTGGAGAGGAGAGGGTTCCACTCCAGCTCATGGTTTTAGGGATAAGATCCAGCATGGCAGGAAAAAGTGGTCACCGCAGCTTTATGGCGAAGGCACTCAGCAGCTTGCCTATTTCTCAGAGGGCCAGGAAGTTGGGGGAGGAGGGGGTGATAGCACTTAGCTAGCTTTTCCCTTTTCCCTTTGTAATGTTAGCTTAGACTTCCAACCCATGGGATGGCACCATTGTCACTCAGAAAGGGTCCAGTTTCATTTTGTCCTCTCTGAAAACTCCCCCACAGGTACACTGGACGGTGTGCCTCTTACTGGTGCCACACGTGTTTCCTTACCCAATGAGGCAGACAATCCAAGTTATCCCTCACAGTGCTTGACCACACGTCAGTTTCTCTGCCTAACACTCAGGCAGGAGCAGTCTTCTCCTGGTAGAGGAAGCAGATGAACACAGCAAGCTTCCATGAAGGGAGTGAAAGCACACGTGTACCGACATGAAAGGCTGGTTAGTAACAGCGGGGTGCCGCTGGGGACACACTGCTTGCTGTATGCCCGTGCTGTGGCACCAGCCTGACACGCTGTCCCTTTAACTCATCAATAACAGCACGAAGATATACCTCTCATCTTTACTGAAGAGGTCCCTGGGGCTAGGAGTGTTCTCACACTATAAAGGTATCATCTAACTGCATCCTTCCTAGACTTGACACCCAGTCTCCTTACCTCTTCCTTAGGTTCCCTGGTGTCATCCTAGAGGCTGCTTTTGGAAAGGAAGCTAGCTCACCTGAAGCAGGATGGCAGGACAATCATGGCCTCTCCTGGGGATTAAACTATGCAGCACATTGAATAAATACCACCTTGTTAAGCTGAATGCATTTTAACACATCCGAATTTGTGTAATGAGTACTCAAATCAGGATAAATCTCTTTGGGAACAGTTAAATCTAGCAAGACTCTTGATTACCCCACTGACTTAGCATCTGCACATCTGAAACCAAGTCCCAAGTATCCCATGAGGCTGGGAGCATCCACCACCATAACAAAGTCACATTAAGGTAAACTTGACTTCCAAACACTATGATGTAGCCTAGAGCACCATTTGAGAAGTCAGGGTCTGTTGGGGAAGTCCTTTGTCAATAAAGTACTGTTGAGCCAATAGGAATCTAGATAGGTGGGACTAGGAGTCCAGGAGGATTCTGGGAAGGAGAAACACAAGAGAGTCAACATGTAACGCCATGGGGTAGGAGCCCGGAACTATTCTCTGGTAAGAGACATACTTAGATTAACAATTATGGGGTAATTACTTAAAGCAGAGCTAGCCAGTAAGAGACAAGCAAGGCCAACAGCTACATAACTAATATAGCCTCCTGTGTGTTTATTTGGGACTGATGCGGCTCTAGAACCAGGCTGGCGGAACGGCTCCTCTCAAGGAAAAAGCTTCTCTTTACAAGGGTCCCCAATGTCATCACACCAGAGCTCTGAGAGGTGTCACACTCTTTTAGCCACACCCTCCTTTTGAGAATGTAATTACAATTGTGCACCGAGAGGATGGGGGGGGGAACGAATCATTAGCATCTGAAAGCATGGGTCCATTTTGACGCAATGAACACCTACAATTTTCTAGAAAGCTCCCCCAGGGCACGTACAGAGGCTATGTAGAAAGGCGAGATGTCCCACAATGTTGTCATGGAGGGGTTTGCTCTGGGGTGATATGACCATCTTCCAACATGAAGCAGAGTGGCTACTATGTCCTTCAGAAGACTTGGCCATGGAAGGAACAGAGCAGCACGACAGATAGCTAATGCCTATGGTAATGGGGTCCTTAGCAATCCCTCCCTGATAGGGAGTCAAGAGACCCTCAAGTGAGACTCCAGTCACCATTCTAACCCATTCTTCTGGTCAACATCTTAGGGCAGCTAAAGTACGTGATAATTTGAAGGCACCCGGGGGGTGAGGCCTGTTCAGTGGTGTAGCTGCCCATAAGTTAGCCACGCTGTGGGTAGCACTTACTAGTGATGAAGCTGCCTTTGAATCAAGCATGTTCCTGTAAGTAGCCCCTGTCACATCACTGGTTCACCAAGCTGGAGTTAGTTAAAGTCCTTTTTGGTCTGCAGGCACTCTCCTCATTTGGAATAAAGAGGCGTTCAAATCTCTCTAGACTATGCCATATTGCACATACTTAAACTTTTCTTTGCTTATCCATTCAGAATATCAGCTTAAGGAGGTTAGGGGAGTGTTTGTTTTCAAACATCTATTTATTGACCTATCTACCTATCTAAACTATCTAGCTACCTAATGATTGTGTGTGTGTGTGTGTATAAGGTACACGTGCCACGATGTGTGTATGAAGGCAAATGATAACTTGTGAAAATCAGTTGAGAGAATTGAACTCAGGTCATAAGGCTTGGTAGCAGACACATTTACCCACTAAGCCTTCTTGCCAGCCCAAGGGGTTCTGTTTCACTCACCACTGGGCCTTGAGTGTGGAATGGCACATATATAACTTATTCATCAAAAATGGATGGTGGGTGATTCGTTCACTGAGCCACCCATAAGATTCAAATCATCCAAGGCACTCTTGCTCAAGATAATTACCAAGAGCTGTTGCCAAAACAAGTCATGTGGAGTTATTTCTGAGAATGTAAGGGTGGAAGGCTAAGGTTTCCTATATATTTAGCCACATAGGGTTCCAATCTATTTGAGAAAGAGACTGAGAATGAATCTCAGGTCATGGCACCAGCAACAATCCACTGGGTAGTTTAACAGTCTCTGTAAGCGAACGAATGTCAGACTCAGCCCTACTGAACTGATGGGCAGAGTTTGTCAAAGCAGCCATCACTTGAGTCTTTATTAAAGAAATAATGAGCAAGAACAAACCTAGTCTAATGGCACTCTTTCTGGATATACCGATGGCTGGCAACAGAAAAAATGACCGACCACTAGTCTCGACATCACTGACTTCCTGTTGACGGTGAAAGGAGACAGGATGTGGAGACATATTCACACTCTGCTGGAAACAACCACTTCCTTTCCTTGAAATCTGAAAACAGGAACAGGTGTGGGGCTTATGTGGAAAGATTTAAAAGGAAAAAAAAGACGACACATTCCATGTAGACAGCAATACAAAAGGGTTATATAAATTTATTTCTCATGTAAAGATTGGTTTAGAAAAAAGGTCCCACTCTCAATGTTAATCCCATCTCTCATTTTTTTAAAAAAAGTGATAAAAGGACAAAAATTCCCCACTAAATACAATCTGTGTCTTCTCCATATTTACAGATCCCCAGTTTCGAGTAGGGTCAGGTTGGTTAAAAGTTACCATTACTTTGAATAACCCGAATATTTTGTGGATGGCAGAACACTGGCAAGTCTGTATGTTCTTCGCTGCATCGAGAGAAAGGGAGAAAAACCTTCCAGTGTTTCTAATTATTTTTTAGCCTCCCTATTTGATCAAGTTTAAGTGGACAGTTTCTCTTTGGTATAAAATCAAAGCAGTATGTATACAGCCTAAACCAGCTTAATTTTGAAATGTTTGTTCCCTCTTCTTCCGTGACCAGATGCAAGGCAGAGTCCACATTTGAGCTCTAATGATTAGATTTTTTTTATTAAAGAAATAACAAAATTTAGAGCGCTGAGTGAGTAGTCTGCCAAGATGGTGAACTGGATATGTGACAAGCCTTAGGTGGACATTTGAGTCCATGGATACAGGATGGCCACACCATACTTATACAGAGAGTGATTCAATTCTGTACCCTTAAGTGGTTAAGGCTGAGAATAGCATCAGGTAGATATTACTGCCATGGCAAGATCATTGTCATGCTTCCAGACTGCCAAAATTTCCCAAGTAAAAATTATCTCTGCATAAAGATTCTTTCAATTCTTTAGTGATCAGAATAAGCCTTGGAAGAACGTTGGGCAAGCATTTCTTACCTCGCATTTGTATAGACACCCATGTGTGTGTCCACTCCTCCAACTCCTCCTCCAAGAGCAGGTGGGAGTGGCTTATGTCATATAGAAATCCTTAACATACTAAAAACATAAACACATCACTAAATGTACCTGACGACACACCCTATGGGGAAAGTTCTCCAAAAAAAGTATACACATGGTAAGAATATTGCTCTGAAGAGAGGAAGGCACTACAGTGGTTTTCTTCATTGGACTGAAAACCTTCGTATGTCTACAGAGACAAGAAATAATGTTACCTGACCACTTGGACTTTCACAGTATAAGATTGTAATGATAAATCTGGCAACTTAGAAAACCTTTTACTCTGCCTTCAGAATTCAGCTCTCGGATGAGCTGTCACCCTGGAGCCTTTCTCTATTCCCAGCTGATCCAAGTTGACTTCAAGTGGACTCAAAGGCACTTTGAAGAAAGTCCCAAGACCCACAGAGGGTGGAGCTACCAGGTAGGGAGGGGCCTCTTCTCTTCATGATGGCAGCAGGGCTGTCTCGTCAAATGGTTACTTGTCTTTTTAAATAAAGTGACAACCTAGGGCTCCAGTTATGAGTGCAGCTCATTTTCTACCATAAATCTCTAGAAAATATCAATTTCATCAGTTATCTACTGTATGTATGCTTATAATATCTAAAAATAGAAGTTTGATATAAATAAATGTCCTTTAGTGGCAGTATACTAAAAGACCAGCCCCTTGGCCTTCTGACAACCATTAAGATCATCTTAGCAATACAGAGAGCAGCTAACTAGGGCAACTGTGAAGAGTTAGCATTGCAAAGCCCATTTGGTCTGTCCTTTGTACCTGGCCAGTGAAATGCAGTCATGGCCAAGGGGTTCCTAAGATGCTGACACAAATGAACAGAATCTGGTCCAGAGCCAAGTGGCTCGCATTTCCCAAGAGCACAGAGAATTCTGCACAGGAAGTAATTAATATCCAGTACCATTTCAAAGAGACACTTGATGGAGCCAGAAAAAACATGTACCAATACCAGAAACATGAAGGGGAGAGGCAGATTCCACAGGACGAGCAACTAGACCATGTAAAGTGCCAGAAGACCTCAGTCATTATTTTAAAGCAGGAAATTATACTTCAATTATTTTTTTTCAAAGCCCCAAACACCAAGACAGTTCAAGCAAACAAAATATGTTCCAAGTTCTCTGGCATCCCAGATGTCAAATTCTCCTTCATTTTAGGTTTTTTTTTTTTTAAATCAGTGCATATGTAATATAGGTAAATAGGAAGAAACAAAGCCCTACCCTCATTTTGCAAATTCTGTCCAATTGCCAGTTTAAAAAGCATTCCCCCTTTGGTGCTTTTATGGCGACATGAGAACATGAAACACATCTCTTGTCTTCCTCTTTTGCCATGAAGTACAAGTACGAATTCAATGCTTTGGTCCCGATACCAGATACCCAGAGTGCCAAGGACGGACGGGTGCAGTGAAGACTGTCCACAGATCGTGTCCATCTCTGCAGACAGCAGGTGATTGTGTATCCAGAAGGTAACTGCTACCAACGGCCACTGACACTGGCAATGTCTGAGTGATACTGGCGGGGCAGCCTCCCACTGGCTCCGCCTTCTAGGAAGGAGGTGCATGCATTTGACGGTTCAAACAGTTTTCTTCGGTTTTTACTTAGCTCTAGGAAGAGAAGGAAAGAGAGAAGGAGCCGACTGTTAGCTGGTCAGTGGAGAAGCACTCTGCATAAGGAGAATACATCAGAACTCAGAAAATGGTGACAGTGGGATTTGTGGGGAAAGCCAGGAGGGTGGCAGGAGGTAAACTCTCCATTAGTAATGGGCATTTCCAAACATTTCATAGCCTACTGTGTGAGGGGCACTTACTGCTCACCTAGATAACCAGGGGCAAATGGTGTTTATTATGGTTTGTACAATACCCAGGGCAGTATCAATCTCAGAATTCCCTAGCCATATTAGGCAAGTTTGCTAGGCCAAAAGTCAAGAGGCCCAGGGCACAA